ATGATTAGCATTAGCATTAGCCCAGCGCAACAACGGAGAGAGAATAACTTATGGCAACACAAAATAAAACATGGGAGTGGTGGAGATGAGGAGGTGTCGGCGTTCTGGCGATTTACTCGGAAGGCTTCAGTAGCTGCTGGGAGTCCCAGCAGCTTCTACTGAAGCCAGTCCCCAACTCCGGGGACTTCCGTCCGGGGACTTCGGGTGGCAGTATACGCTTTGAAGTGGTTTGCGGCCTGGCAGTAAACCCAAAGCAGAAGAAGAAGTAGTGACGTCAGCGGCTTCATTTGCCTTGTCCTCCCTCAGGGAACTTATACCGGTGTGAACGCGATCTGCTCTTTAGTTCCATGGGAGAACTAAGTGCTGGGAACTAAGTACGGCAAAGTACTGGGTGTGAAAGCGGCTAATGAAGTGATGGTACTTAAAACCTTTATCTGTGTATTTAAACCCTGGTATTTCTTATTCCGTATAGCCATAGAGCTCTGCTGTTTGTTATTTATAATAAAGAACAAATGACAACTCATTAACAAGCCGCAGTGAAGGGTGGTGAGTGACACAGTGTTAACGTGCATGGTAATAAATATTGCGTTACTATTTGAAATAAGACAATATTCAGATGTGATACAAGTCGTTTGAACGGCATATTCTGTTTGGACATTCCCAATTAGGCCTTTTGGTCGTCTATTATATTCAGGTTTAAGGAGCATTCGTTGGCCATAAATACAGCGCATTTTACCTATGACGGCCCGCTCTGTTGTGGCATATCATCGAAAGTCAAAGTAAAGTATGTAAAGTCACAGTAGAGGTATGTTATTAAAATGCCATGTGAACAGATTGCTAGTCATTTGACCTGCTGCTGGAGATGATCATTATCACACCAAATCCATGTCTGAGATTATTTCCACGCACATGAACACTTCACTGCTTGACTAAAGTATTGAGAGAATATCTACAATGTATTGTGGGCTTTGCTTTTTTATAGGATTTGTTAAAAAATAACATCTTCAATTCATGTTATTGAAAAACAATGATGTAAATTGACTATTTTGGAAAAGGTCGGCTCAACCAAATCCCAAAACAACATCACATGTTACATTTAGTTCTGGTAGAAGGTCGTAGCAGATACTTTTGGTTTCTGTTGCTTGTTATTTTAGATATCTGATACAGTCAGCGCTGCAGCACAATGACCTGTGTTGTGTTTTTTATTATGACCAGGAAGTAAAACGCATCCAAATAACTAAACGGCAACATCTTTCTCAGATATGCTTTTTAATCTCTGTCAACATTTCTATTGGAACTACTTGTTCTACGTTAAACATGCATCCTATTAAAAAGTGTTTCACCACATCTATCAGTATGGCTTCATACCACTAGAGTGTTTTTGTTTTCATAACCTTTAATAACTCTGAGTGATGTGGGCAAGTCGTATAACTCTTGATTATTTCTCTCTTGCAGGATAAGAAGAAGGAGAAGAAGTAAAGAACTCTTGGAACTGTCAAAAGGCACAATTTGCAGCGGTGCTTTTCACTCTCGGTCTTCATTTATTAAATTAACTCCTATGTGGTCTTATATTATTGAAATTTCTTTGATTTATCTTTCGAACTTACAACAAGGGTTGAATGTAAGTTAATGGTAAACTAACGCTAGTCCCCCACTATGGCTGTGAACGGAGAATTAGAGTAACGCTGCGGTGACCCTGCTCGGCCTGTAGAGGGGAGTGTTGCCCTGCGAGGCTCCCATTGGCTGAGCAGCTTTTAATGAAGAAACGTATTTAGTGCCATACATTAAAGACTTGATAGGCTCCTTTGTAGTGGGTCGTGTGAGCTTCTGAGGCTGATCGTTGTTTTATTTCAAGTTCTGTGATTTCCATCGTTGATTTGCTTATTTATAGTTTTCCTCTGTTCTCTTAGTGGAGTGTCACAACAAGATATGGTGTCCCATGATTTTGACAACAGATTCCCCGTTTGAGAAATTCTCCCTGTGATGGTTTTTGTTTCCACACATTTTGTTTCTGACCACCATTGGAGTGGTGAAGCCCGGTAACACCGACACAAACCCTGAAAGCCTGTCGGAGTCTTAAAGAGCTGCAGCGGCTCATCAGACACACTTTTATGGATTCTGGATGTTGGCGGGCGGAGGAGGAGGAGGAAGACTTCGGAGCCATCTGTCCATATTTCCATCTTGGATAGGAGGATACGAGTTATTCAAAACCTCTCTGTAAATTCTCTAAATATCTGTTGTCTAGAAATTAGTTTGCCAAACGATGTGATGTTAACCTTAACGATTTTTTGAAAGTGTATACTGTGAAGAATTTATTTTATGGATGTAAAACTGAAACTAACAATTTGATACATTTGCTCAAATAAATGTGTTGAACGTTGAAACAAAGTGCCTGTTTTCACTCTGGGTTACTCCAATGAGCTCTGCTTATATATTGCAACCGTTCACAGCGGTGGAAGAAATATTCAGACACATTAGGTCTGTAGCAGACTCCGTTTGAACAAGAACAATCTAAACAATCACTTGTACAAACCATTTAATGCTAGGC